GTGTGAAAAGTGTATATAAATATAAATAAATATATATATGTATATGTTGTGGTAGGATCCACCTAATTTGCAGAGTGGAGTACCGACCATATAAATATGGTTGGTACCGGGAAGACGAAGGAAGGAATCAAGAGATTCAATCCAGAGACTCTGCCCGACTGCGACTAAGTCAACACATTCTCCAGGAACGGTCTTCCCAAGAATATCCAAAAGACTATATGTAAATATTGTGTACACTTTCTTGTTTCAATACATTTTGTTCTAAGTACATTTTGTGTTGTATTATTATTCCATGCATTAGTCAAGTTTCAACAGTATAATTATTTATATATTATATGCGCGGTACTTATTAGAAAGCGCTCAATATCAGAGATAGAGCTAAAATTGGGTTTATGTAGATTGCGTGTATTGGTGTTATTATGGAAGTGGGAGGGGAAACCACTTCCACAATAACACAAATACACGCAATCTACCAAATTTTTTAAAACATTAATCAGTTTGTCTGACGATCGCTAAAGCGTGAAACCCAGGGTCACAAACTCACATGTATCCAACCAAATATATATTTATATATATATATATATATATATATAAATTTGCTTTTTTTTATAAATTTTGGGCTTTCTTTTGAAATCATAAAATTTAAGTTAAAATTTGTTTAGCTTGCCTCGTATGATCGCCAACCCTCAGAATGAAAAAAGAAAATACCAAAAACCAGGGAGTTCTTTAAATTTCGTAAAAGCGGTTGGTATTTGAGGTACTTACAAGGAATTTGTACTTTTTAAAAAAAATAAGAGAACAAAAAATCTGTTTTTAACCTGTTTATCAGGGTGAACGCGAACATCAACACTACACTTAGAAATAGCGCACCTGAGTGTCAACATTTGTGGTGATCGCAAAGATCCACCCTAATTGGATTGCAATCGAAAGGGTCTCGGCCTAAGAGAATTTGGTGTGAATTTTAGTGTATATAAATTTTTTTTTTTTATTATTTTGGAGGGAATTAATATTGTGTGCTGAATTAACAGAATATATCCCATAATTCCCCAAATAGAAGGCTCGGAATGTCTTCAAGGTAGATGTTACTGTTAAAATGATTATGACCAATGAGATGTGGTATGTATGTACAGATGACCACTCGTATTCGAAGATACCTGTCCACTAGGGCGGCTATCCAATCCCTATTGCAGACGCTTGTTCAGGCGCATTTGTGTTTATTCAACACCGACACACCCCACCTGTGATTTATACTGCAACTATGCTGAGCAGACCTTACTTACAGTTTCTGGAAATTAGCTTTTTATCTAGTGTGATCAACAATTTTAACAAGTCCAGTACTCTCAATCCCTCGGCCACGATGACTTGTGACTTTGTGCTAGCACAGCTATCGACGTCCTCCAAGTGTTTCGTCAACCCAGTTTCACTCACAAGGCTTGGGTCAACCCGTGGTATGGTTTCATGTATTTTACAAAGGTGCCGCAAACTGGGATCGATCCATCCAGTCCGATAACATCAGGAAATCTTACTGACAAATCGGCCATAGTGAGATTCGAACCCTGGTCTCATGGTCAGAATGCGAGCGTTCTAACCACTCGGCCATGTGATATGAGTAAAAGAATAAGTGGTAGGAAGTGAAGTGTATAAGGATAGGAAGGATAGATAATTTACATTTGCCTCTTCTGTGAATAGTCGGATATTTGGTTGAAAATGTAAGAAATAACACCTTTTGATATCAGAAGTTAACAAATGATATCCTAAGGGTAAAATAGGATTACCAGGTATTAGAAAACGTATAGGATTATCCTATCTGTGCAGTGATAAGAAGTAATTCAAAATAGAGGATTTGAATTTGAGATATTTTGGTTAATAGCTTTACAATTTGATGCGGAGCATAGGAACTGAACCGAAGCTTTGCCTAGATTTTATTTCTTGAAAGCTGTTCGGAAAGTATTCAGCCAGTTTGTCACGAAAATCATGTACGCTTTTTAATTTAATCATTTCACCCCACCGACGGCAGTAAAGCCACTAAGACACAAAGGGGAACCGAGAAAGAATAATTAAAAACAGAATCAATATAAAGAATCGAAAACAATAGAAGACTAATCAAGAAGATCAGGATTTAATATAATGAAGATTAATGTGGGCTAGAAAGCATGAAACTGGGATAAAGCTCTTGGAGAAAAAAAGAAACACTTACCGTAGAACATACTAGCTAATCCAACTCTAAATAGTTGAGACCTTGTTACCAATCTGCACTTAAATTTATAAAGTACTAGCAGCATGGCCCGGCGTTGCCCGTGCTTGATTAAAAAATTTAACGATTCATACAGCAATTGCTATCACTTGACTTAAAATATTTTTGCCCATCCTTGCCTTTAAAGGAGTGCCCTTTGCCGTGCTGAAGTAGCTATATGCCTTATTTCTTGTCTGTCTCACACTGTGAATTTTTTCTAAGCTCTATACTAAACATTAAATCTGTTACGACAAAAGAACTAAACAA